CGCCCGCCACAACGCCCGGCTATTTTTTGGTTGCAGCCGTCATTGTTGTTTGGCGGGTCCAGGCTGGGGATTCGAACCCGCCATCTTAGGTGTACATGGCTGGCGCCTTAGCCGGTTGAGCTATAGGCGCCGAGCCTAGGCAGGAACTTTTATGTCATAGAATTTTGTTGGCTTTACTCTCTTGCACTCCTGTAGTCAAAGCCTTAACTATAACCAAACTACTTAGCAGTCCTTAAACTCACCTCAGTTCCCCATAACCTCTCATCCTGGTCCATGCTAACCTCTGCCTATAAGTTAATATCCTGCAGACCTCCTAGTTGTCTGTTGAGAACCAGGATAGAGGTTACCTCCTCTGTGCAGCCTTCAGTCACCACACTACCCACCATGTACAGTAGAAGGTCCTATATTCTCATCAGATTCTTTTTTTTTTTTTTTTGAGACAGAGTCTCACTATGTCGCCCTCGGTAGCAACCTCCAACTCTTGAGCTTAAGCGATTATCTTGCCTCAGCCTCCCAAGTAGCTGGGACTAACAGGCGCCTGTCACAATGCCCAGCTATTTTTCCTTCTTTTTTTTTTTTTTGTTGTTGTCATTATTGTTTCAGCTGGCCTGGGCTGGGTTCAAACCTGCCAGCCTTGGTGTATGTGGCTGGTGCCATAACCACTGTGCTACAGGTGCTGAGCCCAAAGTGATCTTTCTTTCTTTTTTGGAGACAGAGCCTTAAGCTATCACCCTGCATTGAGTGCCATAGCATCACAGCTCACAGCAACCTTCAACTCCTGGGCTCAAGTGATTTTCCTGCCTCTGCCTCCCAAGTAGCTGGGACCACAGGCACCCGCCTCAATGACCAGCTATTTTTTAGTTGCAGCTGTCATTGTTTGGCGGGTCTGGGCCGGATTTGAACCCACCAGCTCAGGTGTATGTGGCTGGCACCTTAGCCGCTGAAGCCACAGGCGCCAAACCCAATGTGATTTTTCTTAAATGCAAATTTCACTCTCTCTTTAAAATCTTTAAATGGTTTCTCGACTTTCAAATATAATCCAGACTCCTTAGGCAGGAACTTTTTTTTTTTTTTTT